CCTACTGCCTTTTTACATTGCAGACCCACATCAGGTTTGGTTCTGGCACCAGCTGGAACTAAGAGTTACATGCACCTCATCCTTGCTACCTTTGTATCAGAGGGAGCAGAGTGGGGGTGTGCAACAGCACCCTCTCCTCCGCCTCCACTTGCTGCCTCTGATATAGAGGCAGGAAGGGGGGGAATTTGAGTAGTCGACTGAACTACTCAATAACCCTAGGTATATCAGGTAGTCCGTAGTGGGGGGGATAGAAATCCATGTCTGGTCCCGTGTGACTGGGATAGCACTGGCTCTTGCTGTTTTAGTGATTTAAATCAGTGGTGCCCAAACTTTTCCTGTTGTGCCCCACTTACATTAATAGAATCCAGCTACCCATCCCCTCTATTACAGCACAGTAGGCTTAGCAGAGGAATTGGGCTGAAGGTGGAGCTGGGGGAGGAACTGGCATAGGGGCAAAGAATAAATGAAGGCACAGCTGACTTAGGGGTGGAACTGTGGCCAAGCTGGGTGGCACTCACTCCCCACTCTGCGGAGTGCTGGCCCAGTCCCTGCTGCATCTCTCCCCCCACCCCCCCGTCTCCCTCTGTCCCTCTCTTACAGAGAGATGTACCCCACAGTTTGCAGGCCACCGAATTAAATGGATTGATTGTGCTATGAACAGCTAGCAAGAATGGCATTCTAAAACACCACTTGCACCTGAAGTGGCAATGGCCAGCATACCTAAACACTCTTAAGTCTAAAGGGTTTTCCTCACACACCATCAAATAGCATTAATTTATTTTTCAGTGTTTCTGTTCCGTTTGGACTTTCATAATAGAACAGGATTTTCTTGCTTCAAGGTCTTTCTGATTGGGCTGCTGATTGTTCATGGACTCTGTTGACTGACTCATAATTCTCAGCTGCCAGATTTTGTGAACTGGGTTTACTTAGAACTGCACCCAAGGAGCATAGTTCTTGTCACTACATTGATTTAGCAAACATGTCATTTTCTGCTTGACAGAAGCCAAGAACTGAGATTTGGAAAACTTTGTTTATTTTTCCATTCAGAAGCCCAGAATCTAGGGCGAGTAATCTGCAAGGCAGCTATGAATATTCCCTCTAATCTTTTCCAACCATGTGTGGATTTTTCCCATCCATGTGCAGAATAAATTTTTTATGTGCACCAAGGTTTGTGTGAATGTGCACCACCAGTAGAAACCAAACCTAGTTGTGGGTACTCCTCTAATCAGCTGGGCAGCATTTGAATCTCTTGAACAGTCCACAAGTGCACAGCTTACAGGGAACATGGGCAACTAACCAGCTTTACATATTTGGAGGACTTTGGTGTCCGTTACTATTTTTAATTTTCAAAGGCACAAATACTGATATATAGTGGGGAAGGCTTTTGGTTGTTGGAAACTTTTGTAGCTGTGATTTGCATTGGGAAATCCACATATCCAAATGCATTCTTTGGCAGTCTTTTTAAGTGGAAAAACAAATAATCAAGAAGTTTAAAACAATTAATAGCTTGTATGTAAGCCAAAATGCAGTGTCTTGCTCCTAGAGCGCTCTCAGGCTTAGAGTGTGTGCATTGATATCAACAATAACAAATATGCACTAGGGATGTGACCATGTACAGGAAACCCCGAGATGCGACTGCCAGGGTTGCGACCCCCACACTTACAACCATTCATGTAAGTGCAGAAGGGGCCGAAACCCCCGACTTACGTCCTCGTCTCGCATTTACAGTGGTGCACAACGCCTATCATAAATGAGGGTTCGAGTTACGATGCCCCCAACTTGGGACGCTTCCCCAGGAACCGAGTGTGTTACAAGTCGGGGGCCACCTGTACATGGTTAACCGAGAAGCCTGAGCTCATCGTTAACCCTCACGGTTACACGCGCCCGTATGCCCATGCTGCTGCGTCTACCTGAGGCAGCAGCGTGAAGGGGGGGGGGAGCTGCTCCAAGCAGGCTCCCGTGGAGCCTCGGGCCGCCTTTTCCCCCACGCTGCTGCTTCTAATACAGTGGCAGCAG